ATCAGCTTTGGACTACAAAGTACTCAGGGCAATTTCAAGATGGCTAGCTAAGATGATCCAGATTCATAGACTACTCAAGCAAGGACTTGAGAGAAGTCCTGCATTTTCCCATTATGCAGAGACTGGAAAAATGATACAGCTAACTCTCCCAGGACTTGACATGTAACTACAAATTTTTCTTTTCAGGATTCCCTAAAGATGCCTTCACCCCCAGACAGCAGGAAGTAATTTTACAAACATGACACCCACATTCCCAAGAGGTGGGGTGGGTGGTTTTTGGTCGTTTGAGTTATGGATGTTGTCATTGTTTACAATGGTTGGTTACAAGTTGTTAATTGTTAATGGTCAGGGGAAAAAAGCTAAACAAAGGAGATTAGATTCAGGCTTCTTGTTTAAAAAAAGTTATAACTAATATAAGAAAAAATATATACAATAAGTACATATAATATATACAGTCAAGAATTACATTAACAATGTCTAGTCCATTAACATTTGACAAATTCAGACAAAAAATTTCATTACTTATTCTATTTAAAACAAGTAATTCCTTTTTAAAAGTAGATTCAATAATCTACCTTTTTATTTTATCATATCCATATTCTCTCTTTTTTCTTTTCTGAGTAGATTTAGAAATCTACCTTTTATCTTATCATTTATATATCTTCCCTTTTTTCTTTTCAGAGTAGACTCAATAATCTACCCTTTTATTCTGTTATTTCTATATCTTTTTTATGTTTGTTTCAGTAAACAGTGAAACGGCTGAAGTGAAACTTTCAATTGTCCCTTGTGGTAGACAGTGTTAAAACTCTGCTTAATCCTTTCAGCTTTATTTACATCCTTTGGAGTCTGTCCCATATGCATATTTCATGAGTTTTACCAGACTTGGACAGTTTATATCTACTTCATATTTTTTTTTATTTTTGGTTTTCTCACATAAGTTACAAACTGTGGTGTTCATCCTGAATTCTGTCTCCTGACTTTTCAAGCCACATGGACTGTGAAAAATTGTGTGGGGGACTTAGCTAGCACTGGATTGTGTACTTGTATTCTTAACTCCCCATCCACAGAGTTGTGCATTGCAGATACAATTACACTATGGAATATGGCAAATGCTATGAATTAGGCTTTTATTTATTTTTATTTATATTTTTTCCTCAAGATTCATTTGCTAAACATTTAACAGATGCAATAGTGATTCTAGTTTCTCTGGAATTTTATTTACTGCTTTGGCCTGGGGGCTGCCATCAGGCAAAACTTCCATGTGTCAATTCCCTTCTTATTTCTTGATGCTTGCTTGACACTTATGTACTTTTGTGACCTATATCATGGTTTATTTGCAAGAACCTTCTTAAATATTATCCAAGGTGGCCCTAGTAAAAATTTTCTTGATTCTCAATGGAATGAATGTAATTATGAAATGTTACTGATTTTTTACAGAGATAAAATAGTGTGATTTCTGGGTCTCATATTCTCCATTAGTTTACATATCTTTTTTTTTTAAGTAAGATCATCATTTTAAGTGTTTGCCATACTAAAAAAGACAAACAGCATATGTTTTATCATATATTACTATCCAGATTTTAAAAAACAGATAGGACATAAAAACAGAAGGATTATCTGTGTCAAAGAATAGAATCAGTGATTAGACAACAGAGAGTATTCTGTGGGTCAATACATTAATATACATGGTGTACATATATGAAAATGTCACAGAAGTCTATTGTTTTGTGTAATGAATATATGATAGTAGAATTATATGACTTAAGGGACAGTATTTGTTTTGAGAGCATCTTCAGCTAAATAATTTGTATTAAGATATATACAAAGTTGGGAAGGCAGTGCATGCCTTTAATCCCAGCACTCTGGAGGCAGAGGCAGGTGGATCTCTGTGAGTTCAAGGCCAGCCTGGTCTTCAGAGCAAGTTCCAGGACAGCTAGAGCAGTCACACAGAGAAACCCAGTCTCAAAAAAAACCCATAAACAAACAGAAAAATATTATACTGTTGGTTTATTTTTTATTCAGTATTTTGGACAAAAATGAAAAGTTAACTGAAGTGGATTGAGTAGTGTCCTACTAAAATTCATATCTGTTCATAACCTCAGGTTATAACTATGCCTAGATGGTAAGTCCTTGTGGAAGTTGTTAGTGATGATGAAATCATCTTGGGTTTAGTGTGACTGTAAATTTGCACACACAGGGATGTAAGAGGAGAATTGAAGGCACAGGCAATGATTGGAGTGATTTTTTTCTGTGTGACAAAGAATGCCAGGATCCAATAGAAAGAAGAGACAAGTTTGAGTTTCCTCCTAGACCCTGTGGAGGGAGTTTGGTTCTGCTAACAGCTCAATTGGGCTTCTGTCCTTTAGAATAATGGCAGAATAAATTGCTGTTGATTTATACTATTGAAAGGATGGCTATTTATTATGGAAGTTCTAAAAAATTAACACCCCATCCTCATGATAGTTACATGCATTTTTATTGGGTTACTAAATCACTACATTAAGTGGACATTTGTATAAACAAATCTATATATAAGAAAATAGGAAGGCGCTTGCATAGGTATCTGTTCACAAACACACTTGCTTTTATGCACAGCTTATTTGTTCTTTTGGTGGATAAATATGCTAAATCTGGAGTTAGCAGTCTAGATGTTGGTCCTGAGTCTACCATTAATGTACCATGATATCGTGTGTGATTTATTTTTCTTTCAGTCATGTTTGCTTTTGTACAATGTTGCTTATCTTTATGTGTTCTTTCAGCTCCATAACTCCAAGCTTATGTGTCTCCCCCTCCCTACACAATCAATCTGATGATATATACTTTGACAGAAATGTATAGTTGTGCATATGCACTTTGGTGGGTAGCAGTAGAGAGTATTGGGAATTAATGAAAAGATAATAGTACTGTAGTTTAAATAGAAATGGAACACTATGAAAACTTTAAATACCTACTCAGGTTTCAGTTACTGTTTCTTATTGAGGAATAATTGATTTCCAGTCAAATGTCCTTTAAGTTTCTCTGACTGAGTAGGCCAAAAATTACCATATGAAGGTTTGGTTTTCAAAAGGTTTAAGGGAGTTGGAGAGATGGTTCAGTGGTTAAGCACTTGTTGCTCTTGCAGAAAACTGAGGTTTGATTCCCAGGACATACATGGCAGATCACAAACTTCTGTAACTCCAGTTGCAGGGGATCTGCCACCCTTTTCTGGCCTCTCTAGGCACCAGGCACACAGGTGGAACACAGCCATACATGCAGGCAAAACAACCATACACATAAAATTAAAAAAAAATGGTTTTAGGCTAATCATCCTGAGTAAGTAGAGAGTGAATTTTTTGATAGCAGTAATTATTTACACTCATGTCCATATTCATGTTGCTTCTGAAACACACAAAACAGTGGAATGGTCATTGAAGACTTATTTTTGGAGAGCCTTTGAAATCTGGTTGTACCATGAATCCTAAAGAGTCTTATTAATAAAAACAAACCTGGAGCCGGGTATTGGGATGAACGCTGGAAGATCAGAGAAGCAGAACAAGCCACAGCCACCTCACCTCGCCAGTTCCTCAGCTGATCCTGTTTCCTCAGACTAGAAGCCTCTCAGTCCTCATCCAGAATGAATCTCAGCTGAACTGTGCTGCTCAAAGCCTGAAAGCTTAACCAGCCAAATGCTTCTAGTTTCTGGTCCTCACGCCTTAGATACCTTTCTGCTTTCTACCACCACTCCCTGGGATTAAAGGCTCACTTTCTGGGATTAAAGGTGTGTGTCACCATGCCTGGCTGTTTCCAGTGTGGCCTTGAACTCACAGAGATCCAGACGGATTTCTGCCTCTGGAATGCTAGTATTAAAGGTGTGAGTGCCACCATTTTCTAGCCTCTATATCTAGTGGCTGTTCTGTTCTCTGACCCCAGATAAGTTTATTAGGTTGTACAATATTTTGGGGAACACAATACCACCACATCTGGTAATTTTCTTGCATATGTGAGTTTCCTGTCTTTAGGTCTTAGATTGCTAGATCTAGAATGGTCTTTTAAGACAATATACTTCATCACCTTCCAATTAGTCATTGATGGTTCTGAAGGCTAGATTGAAGAAACGACTTGTCCAAGACAACAGTAATTTTTCCTCAAATCTAAGTTCCTTTGTTTAATCTTCCAATCTCCTTCAACTCTGTTACAGCTCCTTTACATTCCTCAGACTGCTCTTCCTCCTTTTATTTTATATTTTGGATCAGTCAATTTTCTTCTCTTGGGCTTGCATATTTTTTCCATCACTATGGACCTGCTGTTGCCCTGTTTTCCCTAAAGGAAAGCTTGAGCTGACAGTTTTGAATTGGGTCCACACATCTTCTTCATTGGGGTGGCATGGAAGTTAGGTCATTAGGGGATCAGCATGGCTGGACTCTTTTTCTTAGTGGAGTGTGAATAGCAACTTTTTTTTTAAAATGTATATTTGTTTTGAGCTCATTATTATCCTCGGAGATGGAATCTGAACAGACAAGATTGTCAAACCTTTATTCGGAGCCAGGGTTAGAAGGCACGCCCATAGGGATGGAATGAAAAGAAGAGAGAAAAGAAGGAAGCTCATTCTTCGGTCCTGAAAAGGGAAGTAAGCATCTCACAGCGGTTTGGTAATTCATACTTCCTTTATCTTCTATTTGCTCTCAGCCTTTGCTTGCCCTGCTCCTCCCCTTCTCTTTGAGCTTCCCTTGATTTCTCTGCTGGAAACCTCAAAGAATGAAATACTACTTTAGTCTTTCGTAAAACAACCACAGATCTAAAGCCTTTGCAGCTCTGTATTTAGAACCCTAGCTTAGCTCTGTGCTCAGCACTAGGCAGTGGTAAAGCCAGTGAAGGGGGTGGGGAGAAGGGGAGGAAGGTTGGGAGGGAGGCAGAAAGGGAGGGAAGGAAAGAGGGAGGGAGAAAGGAGAGAGGGAAAGGGAGAGGGAGAGACGAAGGGAGGGGGAGAGAGGGAAAGGGAGGGAGGGGAGGGGAAAGTGAAAGAGAGAGATTAGACAGAGGGAGGGAGAGAGAGACAGAGAGACAGAGACAGAGAGAGAAGGAGGGAAGGAAGAGGGGAATAGCGTGAGCGCGTGCTAGCTAGCTAGCTAGCAAAGCAGAGAGACAGACTGAGATAGGGACTAAGACAGAGACCTAGAGAAAGAGAAGAAGCCTCGTTTTATCAAGGCTTAGCCTCCAACTTGTTTCAGTTCATTTATCCTTTTTTCTTCTCTGCTTCGGGGAAGTGACTGTGGCACTCGGTAAGAGACAGAGATGTTCCCTTCTTCCCCCTCCCCCAAGCTCAGGTCTCCTTTCCAGATAGCATCTCTCTCCCGTTAGGAGAGTCTCCTTGGGTTGGTCGGGAGGCGAGACATGCTCTGCAGCTGTGATGCTATCCTGGGTTCCCCAGTGGGGCTGGAGGAAGCTCAGAGGTGGCATTTGGGCTGGGAGGCGCTGGGGTAAAACCTGGTTTGAGGAAGGCGGCAGGGGTGGGGGGTTGGGGGGCGGGTTGCGATGTGGTCATAATATGCGCGATTTGCTTCATTGTCAGTGAATTGTTGTGTTCCTCTTTGGAAGCAGGTCAGCATTGACCTTGCAAATTGCTTGGGGGGCCGGACAGCTGCTGCAGAAAGCCACAGAGTGGCCCCTAGCCAGAGCAGACAGCACTGTCATGACCCCCTAGACAGCCCTAGGCACCAAGGATGGGGTAATGGCTGGAGCTCCCTCCTTTAACTCTTTCTCTGCAGCTGTGTTTGGCTGCTGGAAATCAAAAGGAAGGAGGAGACTAAACAGCCCCTTTCTCTCTCCCTATTTCAATGCCTAGATGCAAGTGAGTAGAAAGTTGTAAATAACTGCTTCCTTTCAAGCAGGTGGAGCCCTTTCCCCTTCCTTTTAGAGGTTCACTGTGGGGTTGGACCCGAGTTCTTCTACAAACTTGGGAGGTTTTTCTTGCTTCAGTGAGGGAAACCCCACTGCCAGCCTACCCCTAATCCCAGGTAGCTGTGCTGCCAGCCTAAACCATGCATTCAGATTTCACATACCCCGCACTGGTGGGCATCCTCTTAGGTTCAGATATGTCCTTGGGAGGAGGACAGAAACACCTGATTGTTTGAAGAGCTTTCTTCCCAATAGGCTGCCCCGCACTGTGTCTGGGGGAGGGGCTGCTGGGCAGGAAAGGAGAGTGTGAGGAGCTAGAATTTCCATTGTGAACGGTATGGATTATTGAGGGTTAGTTCCTCAGGTTTGGTTTGTCTGAAGCTATGAGAGGACTGGCTGAAACTATTGTATCCCTCCTGAACTTGTAAAGGACAGGGTCTGGTTGCTTGATAGAGGCTTCTCTCTGGAGTTAGTGACATTGTCATGCCCCTGGTAATATTTGCAGAACAAATTGTACCAATTACTAACATTTTAAGTGTTTAATGTTTCTGAGCTGGGCTGAGGGTTTAATATGTATTACCTCATTGAATTTTTTTGTCAAACTTGTGAAGCGGCTGATTGCTGTTATCTTTGGTTTACTGATGAGGAAACTGTGGTACAGCAAGTTTAAGTAGGTTGTTCAATGACAGAGCACAACCACTTCCAGTGGGAAATGAAAGCACAGGCCCTTGGATCACTAATGCTTCTCTGTTGGCCAAGTGCAGGAGCAGCAGAAATGACAGCTCTTGGCTTTGGGGAGCAACTAGAGACCTGGTATAGAGCGATAGGAACTAGGAGTGGTGTAGAACCCAGGCTTCCTCCCACCTATTTTCTGTTTTAGAAAGGATGCCTAGAAAACTTTACTTTTCCATGGTCACAGCCACAGTCATTCTGCATCTAGCTTCATACTATATCGTTTAGAATTGGAACCTGCTATCTGAGAGCTTGGCCAAATATTTGTGAATTGTAGAAATTTCCAATTAGAAGGCTTCCTAAAAGCCATTAAGCTCTGATTTGCACTGAGTTCTTGAATTTTTCCTCAGCACCCCATTTGTTGACTGTTGTCTATGTAAATTCCCTGCAGTGAAAGGGAGTCCATTAGGTGGTTCTTTGTATTTTTGAGCAACCATGTCAGAAATTTTGTAAAAATTACATATGACGTCTTTTCATTGGTTCCTTAGAAGTGTATGGAAGAAATTTGCTATTTCTTAATAATTGTTCTTCAGCTAGTTGAAGATGGTGATCATACCTTCTCCTTAAGTCTTGAGTCTGACAAGACTTACAAATGAAAGGATCAGGGCTGACTTCTGGAGACTAGACTTTTTATTCATGTTTATCAGCTTCAAACTCACATCCCACAGCTTTCTCAAGCAGCTATGATAGTATAAGTTCTGGTCCTTGGAAGAGCTAGCTATCTGCTGTCATCTGGACTGCTGCAAACAAAGTTCTCTTTTGTATTTCTAAAGACCAAGGACCCTTTGGCACTAGTCATTCCAAAACTACAGATCAACATAATACTAGACAATAGGTATAAGGCATGGGGGATTCTGGAGTCAAAGATTAAGGAAAAATATTAGTAAAGAGATATTTGAAATGGTGATGACTTTAAGATTCATACATGATATGGGAGCTAGAAGAAAAACTGTTAGAATGACAGCTGCCACTGAGGGGATTCAGTATAATCAGAAAGGAAGTGAGTTAACCCTGCTAGAGCAGAGTGCAGGTAGTAAACCTGAGTTCTACTCCTAGCTCTGGTGATTTGCCGGCCCTTAGACACACTACTTCCCCTCCAAGCATCTCAGTTTTTCCATTCACAAAATGATTTGGTGCATGATAGCCCCCAGAGTATTTCACATTTCAAAGTCTTAGTCTGAAGTTTGTAAAATCTCAGAGGTGTGAAGGTCTTCAGAAGTCATCCAGGGCTAGTGCTTCTCAGACCTTAACATATACTAATGCACAATAATGCCCACTGGGATGGTTTTAAAATGCTAATTTTGACCTGAGGTTTTAGGGTGGGGTCAGAGAATTTCAATATGCTGTTGTTTCACTGATCACAGTTCAAGTAGTAAAGTTCTAGTGTGGTCTTTGTTAAACTATCTTCATCAATTCAGTTGTTTATAACTTGTTTATTTCTCACTATCAATGCATTTGGTTATAGTTAGCCATTGTGCAGAGGCTAATAAATGTGAACAAAGAGACATGTTCTCTGCTTGTTTGAGGTTTATCATTGATGGGGAAGAGGCTGGTGCTCATGTAATCACACAACTATGCCATTTTAGTTAGTGATGAATGCCATGAAGCATAAATATGGGAGTGAGTTATGAGAATATAGAATAGAGAACTTGGAGTTTAAGCAAAGCTTGAGGATGTAGCAAGCTTATCATTTCCATAAGGAGGAGGTATTGAAGCTACATAGAGATGCATAGGATCAGGATTGCTCTGGTGGAGCAGTTTTGCTGATGGACACAGAAGGGGGTAAGGAGGGAGCGGGGAGAGAAAGAGGAAAAGTATATATTGGGAGCTGAGACGAGAGATATATAGCCTTTTGAAGGAATTTTAATCTTTGGTCAGGAAGCATTTTGCCTGATAAAAGGGTTTTAAGTAGGGTTACTGACATAGTCTAAGCTGGATCCATTTGATATAAGGTTACTAAGTGTCTACAACAGTCTAAGAAAATGTGGGAGACAGAATAGGTTAGACTTAGTCTCTGCTCTCTGAGAGGACAGAGTCAAGTAGAAAGGAGAAGAAAAATGCAAGCAATGCAAAGGGCTTCAAGGGGAGCAAAGACAACTCCTGGAAGTGAACTGTGCATTGAAGATCAGATAGACTTTAAACAATAGTGCTTGGGAATAGCCACTTGTACATGATGAAATAAGATACATGTGCGGAATGTTTGGCAAATAGGTGGAAAACTTGACTACAAGCAATATCGCAGATTAGCTTGGAAAAAGGATTTATATGTGAAAAAGATGGGGTGGCACTACTTGTGAGTAATCTGATCTAGTCAGGATGAATGGTTTGATTTGCCTGAACTAATGCAGATAGTAATGCTATTGCTGAATCCCAACAAGAGCTGCTGAATACAGTTGAAATGTAGGCTTAGAGCTCAGCAAAGAAGCCATGTGGAGACAGCAGTATGAGAGTTGGTGTCTTGATTTTTGAAAAAGGAAAAGAGATCCAACTGTGGTATTTTGGTTAATGTTTATCTTTAAGTTATAAGGGAAGGAGATAAACCCACATGAATGACAGAAAAGGAGAAAGGGGGTAAAGTTGCAAGAGAAGTTTGGTCTCAGCCACTCACTATTTGGACAGATATTCATTTAATGTATATCCTTTTCCTTCAGTGGAGAATACAGTGTTGAACAAAATAGGGCTATTGTTGCCACCTTTGTTTTGATGGGGAAAAAGGACTTTTTACAAACTATTGAATGACATGGTTATAAATTACATTTTTTATGTGGACCTGCTCTAAGAGGGAAGATGTGATCACCATTATTATATTTTGCAGAAGAGTTGAGTACTGACAAATGATACACAATTTTGTGCAAGCAGTCCTTTGTACTCTGAAGCTCACATGCTCACTAACATTTAAGCTGGATGATGCATAACCATTTTTGCAGATATCTGGCAGGTGATAATACATTTTAGGCTTGGTCCACAGAAGCATAACTTTACTTTAAAATCAGATGATATGTATTAGCTTAACTTATACTCTCATAGTGCCCATGATCTCCTTAGATCCTTGACTTTGTATAGTCAGCAATTTATAGAAAAAGGCACATGACAGAGAAAAGATTTTTGTGAAGAGTCATATATTTAAAAAAACTCTCAGCTGGGCAGTGGTGGTGCACACCTTTAATCCCAGCACTTGGGATGCAGAGGCAGGTGGATCTCTGTGAGTTCGAGGCCAGCCTGGGCTATAGAGTGAGTTCCAGGGAAGGTGCAAAGCTACACAGAGAAACCCTGTCTCGAAAAACCAAAACCAAACCAAACCAAAACAAAACAAAAAACAAAAACCCAAACAACAGCAACAACAATAACAAAACTCTCCCAACATGGATTTCTGATAGCCTAGTTTATAGTTTATTCCTGAGGTGGATAACTTAGTTTCTGATGACAACTTATTTGTCTTGTGTGAGCTTCAATTTTGAAAACTATGTGATTAGCGGGGGTTGGATTATTTATAAACACTTTCTTAGTTGTAAAATTCTGAGGTTACTGTCATGCTATATAGAATATCATGTTCTAACCAGTTTATGCACATATTACAAGTTTAGCCACTAACTGACACAACATTGAACATTTTGAAAGAGTATTTTGAGGCTTTGGAGGAGGCCATGGGGAG